ATAATAATAATATATTTTTTTATGAGATCCATTTGTGGCGGACGATATTTAATTGTGGCGGTCCGCCACAAATAAATCAATGTATGGGAAACACTGACTGCTGTTTTACACATTATCAAAAGCCGTCCCTCAAATCATCACTTCATGCAGGTATACCAAGTCCTTTCATGGGCAAAATATGTTGTGAATTGATTAATTGCTTTCAGGTAAAGTTCTACCAAATGAGTTTTCCTATTATTTTATGTATATATATATAAATATGTCTTTTGTGGGTTATGCAGTGTTGTTAAAGAGTCCCGTCAATCCTGTCCAATCTTTTGAAATCCACCTCCTACATTCAGTTATGTGTAACTTTGTACTGTTTAAACTGGATTTAGCATACAATCCATTCATTTCTGCTGTTACAGATTGATTTAAGAAAAGCCCTTAAAGTTTTGTAAATGTTGTTGTTGATTAGAAAAAATTCCCAAGGAGACTGATGAACGTTTTAGTAGTTAATGAGTAATAACCAAGGATCTTTTTTAATATAACATCATGTGGTAGTGAATCAATGTTGAGCTATTTAGACGAAGTTTCCCTCCCTTTACAGAAGAGGGCAGCATGAGCCACACTTTTCAAAATAAATATGGGTCAAGTTTTATTGGATTTTTCAAAAACGTTTTTTCTTGTTTTAGAGTATAAAGTTGAGGAGACACAATGGCATCTGCACGATGACCATATGTTTTCAACTTTGTTCTAGGCGCATCTTGATACCTACACAATCATATGTTACAGTACGAGAAGTAAAAGTAAAATCAAGAACAGAAGACGCACAATAATCCCTTTCTTCCAGTCCCTTTTTTTGACATATTTGAAAAACGTTATACCTTTTAGTCAGTAATAAAATATTAAATGATAAATAGAAGCACATAATTGACGGATGATTCAATAATGAAAATATTCTAAAGTTGCAGCCCTAAACACTCGCACACAGACATGGCAGTGTTTGACCTCCTGCCTGTCTCAGGCCTCTAACTCTGCGGTGGAGCCCCCCCTTCCCACCGTGGGGACAGCGGTTTGAGGTGGCACTGTGTGGCTCCCCACCTGTCCTTCAGACCTGCCTCTCTGGGGCTTTCTGGGATGCTGCTGCAGAAACCAAGCAATTGATCCCCACCTCGGCTCCAAACCACACTAAAATACAGCACTTCAAGTATAGTTCAGCTTTTCCATAGTGTATTTGCCAATGGAGTGTAAGCATAAAAAAAATTGAGCCCTTGAGAAACACCTCTTAAGCTTTCTTTGTATGTAATTTATACAGAAAATAAGGCACGGGCCAAGAATCATAGAGAGTGCCTCTTTAAGCATAACAGTCATGGCCTCTGAAAAATGATCAAAGCCCGTTCTTTAATCGTCAACATTCACGTTTTCAGAATGAGTTCATTTTAAATGGAACCGCTCTACCTGACGTTGACCGGTCAGCATAATCAACGACATTTCTTGACGGATGATTGTAAAATAAGTCTAGGGAACAAATGAACCAACTGGCAGGGGAAAGACAAAAAGCAAGTTACGGAGAAATTCAAGTCCAGTTGCTTAAAGGAAGTTGGATTGAGCCGTTAAATGGTAAGTTTTTGGAAAAGACTGCACATCTCAAACTAAAACATCCATGTTCAAAAAGTGTTTCTTGATCACTTAGACAAATGTTGAACACAGACTCCTTAGTAAAGTTTATCTTGGATTTCAAACATTTGTAAATCCCAATTGAGCCAACCGCAGAAGTAGCTTAGGAAAAGTCAACCTTTACCACCCAGAGGATGTCTGATCCAATTCCACTGACACAACAAAACACGTACTTAGTTATACCTAGTTATGACATTTCAGCACATCGTATGATCATCTTATGGCCACACATCTGTTGCATGGTCCAGATTTACATTATAACTAAACACTCGGCTATATATTTAATTTATTTTCATTACATTTAGTGTGACAAGATCCACATTTAGAGTTTTTACATAACCAAAGTATTTTGTTGTGCCATCCAAAACTAAGAAAAGGTGTGTTTTCCTGCACTAATCTATTAAAACAATCTCCAATCCTCAGAATATGTTATTACGCAGTGCCAAACTAATTAAGATCAAATCCTGGGCAGTTTCCTGTACAAAAGGGAGGGTAGGATGCAGGAAGTGGGAGCTGTGTAAATCAAAAGGAGCTGAGATTTGTGTGTCCTGGCCTCGAAACAGCCATCCAGTAGTGCTCACACACAGTATATTTTCATCTGTTGACAATCCAAACTCTACCAAAAGGACACAAGCTTAGTTGTAGACATTTCTGTCAGAAGGAAAAATGAGACTCCCTCTCTGGCCCTTGTTGATGCCCATTTGGCCGCTTGCCTGTTTGTATCATAAGTACTCCTCCATATATTTGCATTACTATTATGATTTGGGCTTTTCCCGTTTTATTTGGCCATTGAGACAGTACAGAGCCTTTCTTGCTCATGTCCTCACTGAACTTAAGGCAAAAATTACTGTGTGTGAACTTTCAGGTAGTGAATGAGGAATCTCTGTTAAGGCTCCACAGTGAGGCACCACTGGGACGCCATGTTGGAACATTGGGGGGAAAACTTAATGTAGGCGATCCATCTCTTAAAAAAGTAATGCACTGACAGAAAGTGCCTCTTCTGCAAATGCACTAAAACACATTATCCACCTCTCACTTCAGGAGATCCTTCACCCTGTGTGGATAGTTGAAGCGGATGTCATCAATTATTTTAATACTCACAATGGATCAAACTTGTGTTTGGCATCTTTTTTTGGGGGTTACCCGTCATAGGGCAAAACACCTTTCTGTTTAACACCAAACAACACAAATCAAAGTTAGCAAAGTAGAGCATTGAGCAGCTGAAGAGCCAGATATTTCCCACAGTAGTTAGAAATAGAGGGAATAGTGCACCACACTTCATCAGAAACGGTCCAGAAATGCATACTGGAAAAATAAACAATCCAATGTCAGCTGACAAGTTCCCCAGATAAACATTACAAGGTGACGTTAATGTTTTTTTCAGCTTGTTTCTGTTGCCCCCAAGTGGAAGAAAATAAATATTTCCAATTTGCAACTCAAAGTAGAGCTTGTGCTATTGAGCTACTGTGCGCCAAACACAATCACAAGCCTTGCCCAAACAGAAATGTATCCACTGTTTGAATGCAGACCTGGCTCCTCCATGACAGCGCCTTCAGGAACTCATTGTAACTCTACACTTCATCAACAAAGGGGAATTTATTTGAGCCAACACAACCTGCAAACAGAACACTTTCTACAACGATACGCAGTGCAACACAGGGTCAAAATGCTAAACTCTGTACAATTTCAAAAACCTGCTCATGTTTCATCACCAGGTTGGCCTTTTTCAACGCGTCTGACACGAGTGAACCGAATGGCCAGTGGCGACTATAAGAGAGGGCAACCTCACACAGGTGACTGCCAGACTCTTGAGTTAACAGGAAAGAAATATTTCCGTGCTTAACTTGGCTGAAGCTCTCAACAGACCTGCCTCTGCTTAGTTTTTCTGTCCGCATGGCTGAACACTGGTACCGGACCAGTATGGGAAGAGCCAACAACTTCTCAAAAGCCTCCAGTGATGTGTCGATTGTGACACCGCCATGCCCATCGACTGTTTCCTCTCTTAGTCGGGTGTATGAGCTCACAGGACCCTGACTCAAGCGAGGAGTCACTGTTAGGGAGCGTCAGCATCAACCGTACCCTAATGAAGCAGAAGTAGACAATCAACAGAGACTCAGCAGCACTCAGGTAAAAGTGCCAGGTCAGGGGACATGCCAACAGCTCAGTGCATTCAGCATTTTATTGCAATCGTTGGCAGGATTCAAGCTCAATTTTCAATTAGGTATCAAAAAAGAAAAGGGAATGGATTTTTATAAAAGCTGACAAAAAGAAAGCTCTTTGGGGACCTTTGTGTGAGGTGCTTCCATAGACTGACATGACTGTGTTTGTAATTTCCTTACTG